GTGCAGGAGAGAGAGGGAGTGACGGAGTAGTGTGTGTGTGTGGGTGTGCGTGTGTGTGTTTGTGTATGAGGGAGGGGTGCCCGGCCAGTGATACCGCATGTAGAGTGGGTGGCTGCAGTGTAGTGCTATGGGTAGGCTGAGGGTTATGGTCAAGCTGTTAACAGTGATATTTATGGTTCTGACTGATCGAGAGTGATTTTCTCGCGACCCCCCCGCGTGACCCCATGCTTGTGTCGCTGCAGGTTTGAACTCTGTGGAGTCGTTCGACCCGGGCGCCAACGAGTGGAAGATGGTTACGCCGATGAGTACCAGGAGGAGCAGCGTCGGCGTCGGCGTCGTCAACGGTAACCGGCGCGCGACAAACCTAACGCGGGTGCGATGCTGTTAGCGCTCCCTATCCCCGCGCCCGCGCCTTCTCGCACCTGCGTACTTCGGACATTATGCCCTGTCATTGTGTTTTGCTACATTGCTTAAATTGCTCTGTTAGTCTTGTTTTTTTAAATGTTTTTTTATATTTTTTTTTTTTTTAAACGAAGGCAAACTACCACTTGTAGTGCCAACATGGGTGCAGCTCGGAACGCCAGTGGAAGACTTGCAGGATCCCCCCAGAATGTCCGTTCCCCTCCGTTAGTCTTGTTGCTGCGGTTGGACGGGGGCAGGTCGGGAGAGCTACAGCTATGTGGTTATTAAGGGATAACGAGTGTCACGAGATAATTTTTGAGGTCTGGGCACGTGCCCTCTGAGGCATGTAGCAGCAGCAGCAGCAGCAACAAACAACAGCAGTAGTAGTCGTAGTACTAACAGCAGCAGCAGCAGCAGCAGCAGCAGCAGCAACAACAGCAGTAGTAGTCGTAGTACTAACAGCAGCAGCAGCAGCAGCAGCAGCAACACCAGCAGTAGTAGTCGTAGTACTAGCAGCAGCACCAGCAGCAGCAGTAGCAGCAGCAGCAGCACCACCACCAGCAGTAACAGCATCTGCATCTCCTCACCCTCCAGCTCTACTCCGGCCCCCTCTCTGCACAACTAACAATAACCACACGCACGTCACCTCGTTGTTTCCTCGGCAGGTCTGCTATACGCGGTGGGCGGCTACGACGGCGTGTCGCGGCAGTGCCTGCCGTCGGTCGAGTGCTACCACCCCGCGCTGAACAAGTGGACGCACGTCGTCGAGATGTCCGCCCGACGCAGCGGCGCCGGTACGTGAGCTGTGGAACCACACGCCAGAGATGCCAACCACTACGATTTATTCGTATTTGATACGAATTTATATTCCTTTTGCACCACTACGACCAGTTTGTATAAAACTAGGAATTTCACTGTGATCGAAATTTTTGTTGTTGTTGTCAATTTATTGTCATTTTTGACCCTCAGAATGCAGAAAATTGCATCTCAGAATAAATTTTTTTTCCGGGGGGCATGCCGGACCCCCCTAGCAAACTCGGATCACTACGTGACCATCGAACTACTAATTTGATGTGGCCAGAAACTACAGATTGCTTCAAATATGTGTTGGCATCTCTGATACGCACGCACGCACGCGCGCGTAGGCATGCATCTACCTATGTACCATCTACATGCATGCGCACACATACACACACTCGGACCCAGCGAGAGACGGGTTGCACGCACGCACATGCTTGTACACACATGCTGGAATGCATGCGCGAATGCACAGCCGCAGACACGGACACAAAGACAGATACAGAGATAGACACAGATAGACACATACACAGACAACAAAGAGACAGGCAAAGACATAGACACAGACACAGAGACATAGACGCATGCACGCACGCACGCACGCAGCACACACGCACATACACACACACACGCACGAACGCGCACACACACACACACACACACACCTACCTACCTACCATCTACATGCGTGCGTTAATACTCTAGGTGTCGGCGTACTGGATGGCCTACTCTACGCCGTCGGCGGCCATGACGGACCGCTCGTCAGAAAGACTGTCGAGTGTTTCAACACGGAGACCAACTCCTGGACGCCCGTTGCCGACATGTCGATGTGCCGACGCAACGCCGGTAGGTGGCGCTAGTTTTCGCACGTGATCTCCTGTACAGTGGCGCCCTCGCGGTACGCGGCTCACCGACGCGGGGAACGGAATTCCGTTGGTTCGAGTTCTTGAGCTGATGCCATTTTGGAAGCTGACACGATTCGTGACCGCCGAGGCCTTTTTTTTTAAGTACAGTGAGCGTAAATGAAACGATTAGTTTTCGATTAGAACGAATATAGAATGATAGGTGAAGTCGATTGAAAAAAGTGTGTTGTGGAACACGGTATAGACAAGACATTTTGATAAGCCATATTGATAGTTGTATTACAATTATATTTATTATATTACAACTACATATAGGTAGATAAACAAAATGTATTATTGGGTGGCTTATCGGCTCTTAATTGATCTGCTAATCGATAACATGAGCTTAAAAGTAACACACTACACATATAGTATAGGCAAATACGCAACTACACATAGGTAAGTTTTAAACGTTAAAAGTAAGTTTAAAAGTTAATTTGTTTGGTGGCCTATCGGCTTTGATTAATTAATCAATAAATCTAATCGACGCGCGTGCGTCTGCTGACCGACGCTGACCCCTGGCTCCCTCTGTTGGCAGGCGTGACGGCTGTAGACGGGCTCCTGTACGTTGTCGGCGGTGACGACGGATCGTCGAACCTGACGTCGGTGGAAGTCTACGACCCGAAGGTCGACGTGTGGACGCTGCTGCCGGCGTGCATGAGCATCGGACGCAGCTACGCCGGCGTCGTCGTGATCGACAAACCAAGCCACCTGGTGTGAGAAAGCGACAACGACAAACCAAGCCACCTGGTGTGAGAAAGCGATAACGACAAACCAAGCCACCTAGTGTGAGGAAGCGGCGTCGGCGTCGTAGACGATAAACTCTGCCACCTGGTGTGAAGAGAATGCGGCGACGTCGTCGACAAACACTGCCACCTGGTGTGAGGAAGCGGCGACGATGTTGTCAGCAAACTTGGCCACCTGGTGTGAGAAAGCGGCGACGACATCGAACTTAGTCACTTGGTGTGAAAAAAGGCGAAATCGTCACAGGCGAAATCGTCACAGACGAACCAAGCCACCCGGTGTGAGAAAGCGGCGACATTGTCATCGACAAACTCTGGCGACAACATCATCATCGACAAACTCTGCCATCTAGTGTGAGAAAACTGCGACATTGTCGACAACCCCTGCCACCTGGTGTCGGAACAAGAAGGACGTGAATACACGAGTGTTCGACCTTGCGAATCGACCGAGCGTCTCGATTCGTGCAGCAGCGAGTGTGTGTACAGATGTGAATAATCATGTATAGCAAATTGAACTTTGCGAGTGTAAATAGATAAATGCATTGTAAATAGAACGCATGCTAGCTTCGCGAAACGAGAAATTCTGATCTCTGAAGATGTTCAAAGCGAATAGCGCCGTCAAACGGGACCTCGTGAGACGTGGGTGCATGCTTAGTTCAGCGATGGGTAAAATTTCAATTGCGTGTTGTGGGGAGATCGCGTGACTTAATTTTCATACAGCTTGTCTGTGATGCTGCGTGATAGTGGGTAAACAGTAGTAGCTGGCGCCGGCATGCGACTGGCAACATAGGGCGTGTTTGTTTAGTCTTGATCCACTGGATCGAACCCTAAGCCAAACAAATGCAAACTCACTTTCAACGGTTCACGTTGCGCTGTGACCTATCACGGGATGGTTCATAACAAAGAACAAGCTGTGATTGGCTAACGCGCGTGCCGCCATATTGGATCCCATTTGAATCCACCTCGCTAGCAGGGTCGGTTTCAGTGGATCGAGATCCGTGGATCCGACCAAACAGTCAGATCCACGGATCCGTGGATCCGACCAAACAAACACGCCCATAGTATCAGCATGTCATCGATATGTTCAGTGATGTGATTAACGTTTCTCATCACAAACATTTTTCAAGGTTATGGTGTGCCCCCCACGTTCCTTACTTAATTCTACTGCTGGGTTAGATACTGTCTCTAAACTACGTCCTATATATGGGCGAAGGAAAGTAATGTTGGCCTAAAAGCACAATTGTTGAGTAGCTTTCCCTACCGGACTCCAATAACTACAACCCAGTCACGATCGCATAGCTGTGTATGTTGAAAAGCTTTCAGTTTTATGCTTTCAGATGGCTGTGTAGTCAAAGCGTGATTTGCATGTTTTTGTCAAGATGTTATTTTGCAAGTTCCCCTGTCGTTGTGATCTATATATCTACTAAGGGAGAATAACTCGTCGTGTATAATTTTGTTCGGTTTACATCTTTGCGTGTCTTTTACTATGTTGTGTACACATTAAGAAATTGATACTGAACAAATGATCGATCAGAAATGTAACCAAGAATAAATAATGATATTATTGTTGTAGCCAACCGATTAACACGCTTTTCTTTGTACTATAGTACCAGATTGGGTGCAATCAGCAAAATTATACCATACAAAGTTTATAATGAAGTAGAACAGTGAAGAAGCCCAGAATAAAATGCCCAGAACAATATGAAATGAATATAAAACTTTGTTATTACTTATTTTTTGTATGTAGTATGTACATGTAATTTGAGAGCAGAACATAACATTGCTGTACCACAAATGATATAGTGTATTATAGTAGATATCAAATGTTGTGACCAGTCCTGAGAACATACATGTATAATTATGTATGTATAATACATACATACATGTATAATGTTCTCAGGTTCTGGCAGCAGCTTTTGCTGGAAGGAGGAGGTCCGTATAAGTACCCAATCAACGCTTGCCGCTATTAATTAGACACGCCCACTGAATGCCATCATGGAAAACCTCGCCATCTGGCGGCCATTCTGATGGTTATTTGATCTCTTCAGAAAGAATTTATTATCTGTCCCATTTCCACTATTTTTATATTCCGAGATGTTACTCTCACTTTACTAGTGTAATATAGACACTAGATATTGCTAACATGTTTTTTGCGTAAAGGAACCTTGAATTATTTATTTTTGTTTATGATCGCTGGCCCTGGAAACGGGATCACGTGATCTAGTGTCAGTGTCTTTCAAAATGGATTTGTTTGCGAACTCTGTAAGTGTACTTGTTTACAAATATGATGCTGTAATAAGTCAGTTATGCGTTTATTTATTTGTCTATCATGGGTAAATTAGCACTTAAAATTAACTGATCATGTTTTAAAGTAAGCCTTAGTACTACTACTAGTAGTAGCACTGTTTATGACTTCCATTTATTTATACAGTCACTGCATGAGTCCGTCTTTTCGCCGGGTCTTGCGATTCTACGACTAACTCTAACTACGACTACGGTATAGATGATAGATTTACTTCTGAATGGTAGTAACCTTACGCTGCTAGGTTACATATTTGTATCTACAAGTCTCATTTTCATAGTTCAAGAAACCTGAGTGCCGACCGTTGAGTGGGCCCCTATCCGTTTTGCATTTTCTATACCATGTGCATTTGCATTTTCTATACTATGTGGAAAATAATGGTTCTAATCGGTAATTCATCTCATCTGCTTGCAGTGAAATTGCTCCACAGTAGGCAGTTTGATATTAACCCAGCTGATGTAACTATCAACAATATGGCACTTGGACTCGGAGGACCAATACCACCCGATCAAGTTCTTTTCACCCAGCAGCCTTCAATCAATGACATTAGGCCAGGTGGTCGACTAGCAACAGAAGGAAGGAAGATAGCCGCGCGGCACAAAGGCGGAGTGTTAGGAAACCTCCTCCTTGAATTGCAAGGAGCCTCAACCCATCCCGACACCCGAAATAACAAATTTAGTAAGTGTATCAAGGGATCCAAAGTAATAATGAATGACGACAAATATACATTACTACGTACATAGACCAAAAACGAATATACGTGAACGTCTGTACACGAACAAATGTCTAAATGACTAGACCATTCATTCTGCAGCTGTTACATTACAGTGGCTACATAAAATCAGGAGTAAATAATCGCAAATCTGAGAGATTATTTACTCCCGATAAAATCCAGTGAAAGGAAAGACGTGCAACGGTTTGTAAATTACGGCATTAATCAGGTCAGCTTGTGGTAACTCCACATCTCTATCCACACAAAGCACACACGCGAGTAGTTAGAACTACCGGTGTAGCCCCTTCTCTTCAGCTGCATGTAGCCTGTAGCTGGAGCGAAAGCTACGCGGGTAGAGCTACACCTATACATGGAACGTGGTTTAAGCTCTACGCTGTAGCTGGAGCGAAAGCTACGCGGGTAGAGCTACACCTATACATGGAACATGGTTTAAGCTCTACGCTGTAGCGGGAGCGAAAACTACGCAGGTAGAGCTACACCTATACATGGAACATGGTTTAAGCTCTACGCTGTAGCTGGAGCGAAAACTACGCAGGTAGAGCTACACCTATACATGGAACATGGTTTAAGCTCTACGCTGTAGCTGGAGCGAAAACTACGCGGGTAGAGCTACACCTATACATGGAACATGGTTTAAGCTCTACGCTGTAGCTGGAGCG